CCTGAGCGTGGGTCGCCCTCGGTCACCCCGTGGACCTGCAGGACCCGAGCCCGAGCCCGCTGCAGGGTGGGGTGGAAGGAACGGACCTTGCTGAGGAGGAAGGAGGGGACAAGGCTGAGGATGGGGCTATTGGGAGTTTGTGTCCTTTCCCCAGTCCCTGTAGTATTGGCTGAGTTTGGGGCTGGCTGGCATCGCCCTGAGGGGGTGTTAAACTGGATTTGTCCTGATTTCGGTGCCTGGAGCCTGCTGTCGGATGCGGAGCGGCACCAAGGCAAGGGCTGACCCTGGGGCTGCCCGGGCTGTGCCGCGCTGCCGCTGGAGCTCTGGTCCCAGACTCCGGGCTCATGGTGCCGGTCAGTGCCGGGCTGTGGTCTGTGATCTCCAGCTGGTCTGCGGAGCCGTGCTTCCCCTACTGCTGTTAAATTTTTAAAAAAAATATAATAATTTTGGGAACGCACGGAGCTCTAGGGGAGCGCGGGAGTTGGCGGCAGCTCGCTGGAGGCTCCTCTGAGGAGCTCCTTGAGTTACGGGGCTTCTCCGCTGTCCTGGTGGTGGCAAGACGGGCTGGTGGACGGGAGCGGATGGGACCTGCTCCACTCTGGAGACTGCTATGAAGGATGTGAGGGAGGCAGACGAGGCTCGGGCGACCCGAGTCCTTAAAGCCTCGAGACCCTCCTACAGTGTCCCAGAAGCTGTGATGAGCTTTTGGATGGGTTGGGGTGCTGCTGCGTGGTAGCATCTGCGGCCCCGTATCTAGCTAAGCTGTGAAGCAAAAGCCTTTTGTGCACATAAACCAAAAAAAGAGAAGCTTTTACACTGAAACACTAAGGGGCGAAGCGAGCCCACCCTTCTGAGCACAGGGACGGGAAAGCAGAAGCCCACCTCGTTTGCTGCTGGTCGTTTGTGGGTGTGGAGGGGGGGGGAGCGACCGGGTCCCTGGCGTTTCTGCCTCTTGGAGTCTTTCCTGTGTTATAATGAGTTATTCCCACGTGAAACATCCTGAGATCAGCAGCGTCTGCAGAGGGGAGGCAGGGATGGATCTGGACCCACAGCGCTCCCGTGCCGGGCCGGCCTCGTGCCGCGGCTCCTCCTCGGAGGGATCGTCCCACCAAGGGTTGGAGACCTGCGCTCTCCCTCCCCTGCCGGGGCCCGGG